GACTACATTGTTATAAATAAAAATTAACAAACCGAATCTCTGATTAATTTATATTTAAAATTTTCATTTATTTGTATTAAATTGATTCGAATAGTATTAGTTATAGAATATCAAAATCTATAAAATTTATTGTCATCAATTAACTGTCCAAATTAGGCATCATTTTTATACCCCAAGTACAAGAAGGGTTATTTTTCATTTAAGAATACTAACTCACAAGACTATAAGGATGCTGAAGAAAACCTTCAAGCAAATAAATGGGTTGTTGCTCAACTTGCTGATATTAACGAGCTTGATAAATTGAATTTTCGTAAGAGAATGCGTCACGACTTGGATCATGAATAATCTCTTTTACTATACATCTAATGTATCCCGTTCCGCAGCTCCTTTGCGAAGTATGAGATTTGAAATGCCTCCTAGTCTTTTTCTTAGTGAACATCTTTTTCTTCTAATAATGATAATCAGATTTTTTTTATGTAGAAAAATACGCTTGTTATATCATTATTATTTATCATGCTTCTTTTTCATCAATGATAGAATTCGTCAAAGACGTTTTTGTCAGTAAATAACAATCGTTTTCCTGGATCAGTATTCATTGTTTTTTACTAAATAGTATAGGTTTTCCTGTATAACATCAATAATAAATAACAAGTTTGACTTGATAAACCCATAAACCCAAAACCATTTGCTGATACTTGATTATAATTTATTATGGATGACAATATCTATATTTATTTCAATTAATGTATAAAATAAATACATTAATCAATAATTCTCCCAACTTCAATATTTTTCAACTTCTATTAAAATCATACTTGATTTGCTTTTCTTTCATTTCTTTCACCTTTACCTTCACTCAGTTGTTCAGGTTTTCTATTTAGCTTAATTTGATTTGTTGAATTTCACTTCTAATTTTAGAGTTTGGACTATCACTTTGTTTTTGCTCAGTTAAATAATTTTCTAATTTAGGTTTTTGTTCTATAACTAATTCTTTAACTTTATTCCTGAATAGGTTTTTGCTGTTCAGGTTATTATTTTTAAATATTTTAGTTGCTATTTTAATTGAGCAATATCATTCTCTAGTTGTTGGTTATTTGCTTGCTCCTTTCCCTTTTTGCTTTTAGTTCATTATCTAAATTTTTTATTTTTCATCTTTTTTGTTGGTTCTTGTTGTCTGTAATTGGCTTATGTCCTTTAATACCTCCCTCATCTTTTTTTGTTTTCTGTTTTTATTGATTACGTTGTTGTCTTACTTCTTGAAGTTTAGTTTTCAATTCTTAGATTTCTTTCTTTTGTGCTTTGATTGGTTTTTGATAAATTTCATGATCAGTTTTTGAAACGCCATATGTGCAAGTAAATTATGTAATATTTACTGGATCGATTCATCCTATCAAATAAAAGTCTAAAGAGGATGTTAGTCAACCTATGTTAATCTGATATTTCCTGCGGCTAATTTAATATTATTTAATTGATGATTTTATTAAATTTACAGTAAAAAATTATTTAAATAAGAATACTTTTGAATCAAAACTACAAACTCGTATTGAGAGTTATTTATTATATTCATGTATAATAAGCCTTTTGCTTTTTTTCAAGAACCAACTTGGCGAAGAGTTTAATTGTTTCCGTGTTGTTACATGCACCCTTTATCTCTCTTTAAAAAATCTATTAATAGTAACGTTCTTATTTATTAAAATGGTAGGACGAGCCCAGATCACAAATATATATATATATATTATTATTCTAAATTTTATAAATTATTAGAAATTAAAAACACCAAGTCTCACTACTAAACAAAGAAATTGTACAGTTTCAGTAGCTGAATAAAAATTCAACGCTTCTATCAGCAATTTTATATGATAGACAAAATGTTCTTCGAATTTACGAAGTGTTCTATCCTGATAATCCATTTGTATTATTGTTGTCATAGATTCAACTTGTGTTTCAAGTGACACGAGTGATTTTGTAAACTTCTCTGTATAGTTAGCAAATAAAACACATGTATATAACAGTTTTGAATATATCTATTATCATAGAAAAAGAGCATTTATATGAGATTTAATTAACGAGAGAGAACAAAATTATCTAATCAGATGTAAAAAACCTACTCTTAACAACTTGGCATTAGTTAGCATACATTCTTTAAGGCATGTATCTAAAAAATCCGAATGATATTTTAATACTTGATCTACTGTTGATGCCTATAAATATATGTAAATAATTATGAATAATTAATTAGCCAATTTGTTTAAATAAAGAAATCAAAAAATAATACTTTTTCCAAGCTAGCTTCCAGATTTCTCGATTGAGGTTCTAATACTTCACTAGTTACATAATAGATGAATTGTTGGACGAATACTATCATCTTTTGTCTAAGAGCATACAACTGTCCTTTCCATCCTTCAATGCTTGGATGTCCAGATCCGTGCTTCCAATAATATGATTTTGTATGTTCTTTCCACGTGTTATATAATAATTGTTCTGCATGCTTAAGATAAAATAAATGTCTGAATAATAATTGATATTTGGTAAGTGATTTACGTGAAATTACAAGCGATAATGGAAATGGTACAATGTAATCAAATGTAAGTGCTTCAATTCCTTCAATAGTAAAATAAATAAGACATTAATAAAAATTAATAAAAATTTCTTTTTTTAAAAAAATCTTAATTCATATACAACAAACCTGTTAATAGTTGTTTTGTTCCTCCACTGCCACCACTACTACCACCTAACATACTTCCAACTATACTACCTGCCATACTACCTGCCAAACTACCTGCTACACTACCTGCGTATCCTCCCCCTCCTGGATTTTCACTACTACTACTACCACCACCATCCTCTGATCCTTCATTCTCACTCTCATCAACAATTTTATTAGTGTCCTTTCTAACTATAAAAGTTTCTGAAATGCGGTTTGATGCTTTTGATGTTGTTGGAATAGTTTCTATTGTACCAGCAATATTAATGATTCGTAATAATTGATCCACCAGACCAACGCTGCTCATATCAACTTTAAGATCTTCCTTGAATGGATCAGTGTAAGCAGCTGATGATGGGTTATGAATTACCAGGTCAAGTAGTGATTGAAGTTTTGTAAGTGATACTTGAGTTGATGGTTTTTTTAGTTCTAATGCGGCTAGGTCTAGAAAATGTGTTAAAAAATCAGATTGATCAAGAAAGAAGTATCGTTTGATTGAGCTATATATATATATACACCATATTATATATACAAATTAACAAAATCAGATATATATATATATATATATATATATATATTTCTTGCTATATTAGAAAGTGGAAATAATAGTTACAAATAAAGTAATCTTCATAATATCCAAAATAATAATAAATCACTTAAATACCGTAAACGTGCTATCAGTTGATGATCTTTCAACAATAAATCAAGCAAGGTACGATTTGCACGCTTATACGCAGTCTCTATATTTTCCACAAACCTTAAAAATTATAATAATATTAAAAATTACAATGTAATTTTATTATTATTATTATTATTATTATTGTTATTATTATTATTATTACTTGTTCTCACCTTCCACCGTCCATTGCGGTCAAAATATCATTGTTAACATTGACATCAGTTCTATCAACATTTTTTTTACCATTAATTGGATCTTCATCTTCAGAATTTTGTTTTTGTTGTTCTTGAATTATTGGAATTCCACATTCTCGAACCACATTAAGATACTTTCCTGCTAAAAGAATCTTGTATTTGAAAGGTATTAGAAATGGTGGAATTTCTGTGTCTCTAATTGTATATCTCATTTCCCAATATGCATCATTAAAATCATCTTTAAGATTTTCTTTTTTGACATTTTTACGTTCTTGTATCATATATTCTTCGTATGGATCACGTATTTCGCCATGATGTATCCATAAATGTAACATTGTAACATATGGTTGCGATGATTTTGATAATAGGTACAGATAAAGTTTTTTAGCGGATGGATCTCTAAATTATTATATTATTTGGCATTTATTTAATAATAAAAATTAATACTATTTATATGTGTGTAAAGCGTTAAACAAAAAAAGGTTATTTGTTAAACCTTACCCACTCATAGTGGTCATTCTATCAACTAATATAGTCAGAATACCACCACCTTTAATTCTTTGTGGTATTGTATTAAGCCTAGTGAATCCATTAACCATCATCATATCAGTATCCTCTTCCATCGCATCTTCAGCTGCATCTTGTATTTCCAGTATCAATGAATGAAGATTAGACATTGTATATAATGTAGAATGTACATGAAACCAAAATTTTTGAAGTGTAAATGTTGATTCTGTTCGAAATTGGTATTCTAATTGATTAATCAGTATCAAGTATTCCTGTAGATTATATTTTTATAAATTGTTAATATTGGTATAAATTATGAAAAAATTATAATCATATTCTTATTATGATACCTTTAATATTTCACGCATCGCAGCACACAGAGCATGACTTACAAATCCATATTCAAATTTAGAATGAAGTTCAATAAATGCATTAATAGAAGTATAATAAGTTGCAAGTGGTAAAATACGCTCTGCCAAATCTCTTAGTGATGGATCTTTTAATATCAAAAAATATTATTATTATTAGATTTCTTGATCAATTTTTTTTCTTTGTAGAATATTACATACAATAACCACAAACCTAATGATAAATCTACTGAATATGTCAAACTTGGTTTATCGGTGAAATTATCCGTCACACTATTGGATTTAATGTACTTGCCATCAATACCCTTTCATATACATAAAATAGAAATGGATATAAAGTTTTTATTATTAATTGAAATAACAATCTAATAACAATAGTCCGATTTATCATACCATCATCACAAACAATAAATCTTCCATAATTGCATATTCTTGTACTTGCAAAGAAAGCAATCCTATTTTTAATTCTTTTTCATAAATATCATTTTGCTTTGTTTATGTAAAAAAAAAAATAGATATTAAAAAAATTAATACAAAAGTATTAAAAGTTCAATTCCATATATATAGTGTTATACCCTTGTTGATGGTGGCAATATTCTAGAGTTTAATGGTGTGTCTATAAACCCTTGCTCATTGAAAAATGATCTGATGGCAGGTCCTGTTTTCTTTTGATTAAACATTTTCTTTTTCTCCAGTTTTTTTTTTTAAAAAAAATAATTTCACTATCAGCTATTTATATATTTTTATAAATTGATGGACATTTTAATTTAAGAAATGATCATTGCAAAGATTTCTAACGTGTCAATAATTTTTCCGCGAAAATACAAATTTTTATTTACCAAATAAAAAAAAATTTTACAAAAAAAGAAATGTACCAAATTTCTTTACATTTTTATATTGTTTGTTTGACTATCACCTACTCAAATATAAAAATATATTATTTTTATAATTCTTTCTAAACCATTTTATAATTAAAAATAAACCTATTAGATCCAGTAGGTGAAATTGGTGTTAGCGGAAATGTCAAAGGAAGAAGTTTATTATCATTATCAATTTCCAATGAACCATAATGGTTTATCTTAGTTTTATCATCATCCATATTTGGATAGTCTGAAATATCCAATTCAACGGTTGTAAGATAAAGATTTTTCAATTCATCTTTGATTAATTTAATAGCCTCTTCATACTACACACAGATATGAGAAAAACAAAAAAATTATTTTCATTATAAAAGCAAAAAAATAACATACAAACATATATAAACATTGACTAACCTTGATAAAATGCATTTGGACTTTTAAGAATTTTGATTTTCTTTGATCTTCCAATGCAACAACTTCAGATGGATTAATGGATCTTGATGGTGCCCATATCATAGAACGTAGTAATGGCCAGAGTCTTTCTTTTTCCATTAATGAGATAGGTCTGTTGATAAGATTGGGATATGATTGTATCAATGTGCTTATTTTCAGATTTAGAATTAATTCTACTTGTAAATCCACAACAAATAATGTTCCTGATGGAGGAATTATGGGTGCAGCAAGTGGATATCCCGAAATTTCAGTGTTCAGCTGAACTGTATACAATGGCCCTGAATATTTATCTTTTATTTCCATTTTCAAATATTCTGGTGTAGGAGGAAGCTCTTCAAATGCATTAAAACTTAACAATGTTTGACTGTTATCTATTAATACTTCTTTCACTTCTAATTCAAATATTTCTACAGGAGATTCAACTTTAATTTCTTTTATGATTTCATTATCATTATCATTATTATTAGTAATAGGATATAAATAATCTTCAGGATTTAAATGAAGAACTCTACATAATAATTCAACAATGTCTTTTCTACATTTAGCTAAATCTAAGGGCATTCTATTTTCAATATTTTTCTCACAAGGTTTAGCATTATTTAATAAAAGTACCTCCACAATACCAGTATGACCATTCTTGGCTGCATCATGAAGTGGTGAATTTAATTTCTTATCAGTGGCATTTATATTTGCACCCATTGCAATTAATATATTTACAATTTCATAATGACCTTCATATGCAGCTTCATGTAGTGGTGTACGTCCATGATTATCAGTAATATTGATTTTGGCTCCTGCTTCAATCAAATTTCCTACCATTTCTATGTTACCTTTCTTGGCATGAATGTGAAGCTGACTTCTCCCAGACAAATCTCTACTTTTAAGGTCCATTCTTAAAATATCATTATTAGAGAATTTGGTTCTTACACCTCTATTTTTATTTTTCTTGATTATATTATTATTGTTGCTAATATCAATATTATTACTATTACCATTGTCATTTCTAGTAATACTGTTAGGACTTGCAGTTGGTGATTTCTTTTGAATAGATTTCGGATTTTCTGATCTATTAAATAATTTTTTTTTATTTGCAAAATCTTTTGGTTCAAGTATAGAATTGTCATTTGCCTTCAAAATTGTAGACCTTTTAGTTTGAACATCATCTAAATGCCATAATATCAAAATTTACCAATATTTAATATTTAATTAATATATATAAACAATGATATATTTATATAAAATACTACCTCCACTTTCTTCCCCATTATCACCATTTACTGGTCTTTTAATTGAACTACTAAAGTTTGACTTTTTAACAGGTGTTTTAACAACTTCTACAGGTGTCCCCAATAATTTAATAATGTTTTTATTAGTTGTGTAGTCCCCAGGTTTTTTTTCATTTACATTAGTTTTTTCAGGGTCAGCTCCATACTCTAATAAAGCTCTAACAATATCTTCATGGCCTTCAGCACATGCATCATGAAGTGGAGTATCCAATTCATCATATGAAATAGCATTAACTTCTGATCCATTTTCTAATAGAAAAAGTACAATGTCTAAATATCCATGATAGGCAGCCTCATGAAGTGAAGTCCATCCTGCATTATCACATGCATTAATGTCAGATCCTTTATCTACTAGATCTTTAACTCTGTCTAGCTTGCCTTCTTGACATGCTCTATGTAAATTTGTTTGACCAGCTCTATCTCTAACAAAAATATCATTCTTATCTATTTCATTTACTTTATAAATAAATTTTCGCTTATTACTATTAGAAAAGTTCTTTGTACTTTGAAATTTTAAAGATTTATTTATTGGAGGTTGTTTCTTTTTATTATTAGGTGATCTAGTCAATCTTCTAGTTTTTGTCACTTTATCTTTGTTATCATTTTTCATTTTCTTTTGTTTGACATCATCATTACCATTATCAACATTAGACTTTGATATTAATTGTCTTTTTGAAGGTGGTATTCTACTAAAACCTTTTTTAGATTCTGATTTTGTATTAACAGTAATGGAAATATGATAATCACCATCATTAATATTATAATCACCATCACTACTGATACTACTAATACTATAATCATCATTATTGTCAATAGAATCAATTATATCCATACTTGAATTTTCCATGATACAGTCAAGAGATTTCGAACCAGTTAATTCATCACCAAAGTTGTTAAAAGTTTCTCCTAATGATTTCATATATTTAATACCATAATTTACAATATCATTATTATCGTTATCATCTACACCATCTTTATTAAAAGCTGGGAAATCAGTGTGTTCTGTTTCTGATTCATCACCTCTGACTGTTGCACAATCATCATCTGAATTAAAATGTTTATTCTCATAAATTTCCATGTCTACAAGTTTTTAAAGTTTTAATTGTTAATAATTCTAATTTTTTCCAAAAAAAAAAAGTTTATATAATGAATTCTATTTACTTATTTATTTATCTATCTATTTTTTTTAAAAAAAATTAAAAACTATAAAATGAGTAAAATTTATAATTATAAAATTATATAATTATAAAATAAAAAAATTTTTTTAAAAAAAGTTCTTATATAAATACTAAAAAATTTTTTTTAATTGAGTTGAAAATAGAAAGATTGAAAAGAAATTATTAGTATTAGATGAAAAAACCAAAGAACATATACATAATAAATGCACTTTATAATTGGATACTCTGACAAATTACGTTGTGAAATGTTATACAAATTCTAAAACTGTATAATTTAGACTCTGATTGGCTGATTGGAAGATCTTTGTTGATGTAATTTCCACATAGAACGGTAAAATAATAAAATTTTATACAACAAGTTTTAAATTTGGGTAGGCTTTTTTTTCCAAAATTAGTATAACATGCGAGCAAAGGCGATATGTAATACACAGATTAAATTGAATCTTTTTTTTTAAAGATAAAAAACATTATAAATGAGAGCATTAATGACTGTCTTTAGTCAAAGCAAATATTTATTTGGAACATTTACTGATTATATTATAATTACCAGTTTATTTATTTCAAATTTGGCAACAAAAAACATTCAATAATTGAAAACAAACCACAAATATAATAATCGATTCCTTTGTATTTAATCTCACGTACATAAAAAAATAATTCCGTATTAATCAAACATATTAAGTGATGCATGATGATATAGAACGGAAAATTAGTTTAAGCTGAGCGGAATTTCAAAGTAAAAGTAGAGAAAGTTTATTTCAATCATTTTTTTTATTCCAAAAATCTCCAATTTAATTATTAATTAATTTTTTGAAATCTGTAGATTATGAGTAGATATAGGTTAGACCTATATATAAATGACAGAAAACTAATAAATATACAAAGATTTTAGCACCTGAAAAAACAAAATCTAAGATATTTTAATGCATTAATTTAATAGTATAGAATTGCACTATAGAATATAATAAAATTGAATTACAACATCTTTTTCACTCTTTATCATTGTTATTATCATCATCATGATTATTAGTCAAGAAGATAAATACGGTGATATCTCATTCCAGAAAGAAGATTTTCATCATTGACAGCACTACAAGCTTGGATAACCTAATGATGAGTTAAAACTGAATCTAATCAAGGTCTTAGGCAATAATTCATAATAAGTTAATATATCCTAATATCAGCACACTATAATAATAAAAATTAATAAATATTCACCAGGAAGATCTTTTTTATTTGCAAAAATTAACAATGATGCACCTGTTAATCAGATAACTTCAATTATTTAATTGAACATGATTAGTTATTAATTAATACATTGATTTATATGGTTGATTGGTTGATTAATTCACTTCTTGTAATAATACTTTTAATTCATCATCCAAATGTATTCAACTACCATCAGTTTGTTCAAAATAATTATACTAATAAGGCCTAATTGATTTTGTTCACTATATCAAAATATATGTAATTTTAAATCTATACAATATAATAAAATATTAGAATAAAATAAAAATAAAAATATACAAATAATAAATGCCCAATGTCTTAAATAAATAATTCAATTTTAATTTAATAATTTTAATTTAACACAATTATTTAATTGAAATTTATTGTTATTGTTTTTGTTGCTATTATTACAATTTCTATTACTTACAGTACTAACGATCTTATCTCTTTCTCTTTTTGGCGAATTTTTACGTAAAATTCATAAAAGTTCATCTAAAAATTTTTTTTTTATAACAATAACTTTACATTGCATATTGATCAAAAAATAAATTTTAATTGGTTAGATTTTTATATGGGCGTAACAAACAGCCTTTTTTTGTTACTAGTAAATGATCTGCCGCCGAAATTAAAAAGTGCCGAAACTAGTTTTTAATAATAGCTGAAACTAGTTAAAACCAATTTTCAAGTGAACCATGCATGGTATAATTATTTTATGGCTATTCATATAAAAAATATTGAATTATTTCTAAAAAAACAGTTTAAATAAAACTATTGGCTAGATGCAACAAATACTTGACAAACCACTAAAGTTAAGAGAACAATCAAGCATCTGCACTTAATGCTTATGCTACAGACTAACCGGGATATTAAACTAATAAAATTATAAACAATGAAGTTACCAAAGAGAGTGCAGTGAATCTAGTATATCGTGAAGAACATATAATAATAAAATTTAACATGCAAATCTGGAATCCGTTTAAAAAAATTCATATATTCCAATTAAAAAAAAAATTGCACACATTTTTTTTTAGTATTAAATATATAATGGTGTTATAGACTCTGATTTACAAGATTGGTGGTGACAAACCCAAAAGCGAATAAAAGTAATATTTATTTTTAGCATCCCATTTGCATTGGAATGAAGACACAATTTTTTCTAAATATTATGTATTACAAAAACAACGAATTTTGCCAGAATACTGTTGTCAATGTGAAGAATTTCAAGTGATGCTGTATCCAAATTATACCAAAAACTTAATCCTAATTCAACAAGAAGAATATCTGGAGTTGAGGTTTTAGGAATGAAATTTTTCAAGAGTTATTTTATTATTAAACATTGAATTTAGACCATATTCAATTCAAATAGAAAATAATATCAACTTATTTATTTGTGATCTAAGAAGTTCAAATAACAATGAATTATGTACCTTTAATTAATGATAAGTTTATGGTTTGAAAATAATTTGCTTAAAAAAAATAGACCAAATGATGCTTGGAGAGAAGTGGGAATTCTAATTAAGCTTGAAGGTAAAAAATTGCTGGTTTAGATAATAATATAACAAAACTAATTTTAGATGAATTGAAAGCTTGGACTTGTACACACCAAAAGAATTGGAGGATGAGGAGTTGATGCAAAAAAATATTCCTAAAAAAAAAACAATTGTAAATATAATTTTTTTTATCAATGGTATAAACAAACTCTAGTATGATAGAACTTTGTTCCTCTTTAGATCATAAGTTTAATGATACAGAAGAGATAAAATCACAATTTGATGCCTTTTTTTTTTGATAAAGCTAATATTGCTGGTGAGCTCATTTAAAGTTGATCCTAAACCTAAATCACCAATATTATATTTGCAAGATCAAAGCAATCTTTGCAGGAAAAATACCCAGAAATATATCCAAGTGGAATTTCAGAACAACTTTCATGTTTCAATTACAAAATGGTGGATATAAATATAGAGATGACTTGGGTGGATTGTGTTCAATTTGTTCTGATTATGAATATGGTGTATTTGACGATTTAAATAAAGTTATAATAAAATATATAAATGACAATAGCATTTGGGTAATTATTTATGATAAAAATGATTTTATATTAATTCATTTACAACTGCTAATTACTTACATCATCTCTAACAAAAAGGATTATCCGGATAAATTCAATTAATTGAAAGGCATATGAAAATGAAATAAAATACTAATATTTATGATAATGAGAATTAAAACATACATAATGAGTATCTTGGTCATTGTTTATTTTATGCTTTTGGTATATGTGAAAAAGAGCACAATTTTAGATGGAGAATATGGACAAAAGTTTGTATTATTATTTAGCACATCAAGCAAGAAAATTTTATTTAAATATTCCAATTTAGATCAAATTTGTTAGAATTAGATGAGGATGGTGCTGTAACAATGGTTGATTATAAAAATGAGAAAGGGCAAAATGCATGGTTTACACCACCATCACTAAATGCAGTTTTGAAACCATGACAAAAAAAAGCCAAAATGGGTAACAATCATTTCTGATAATATGGACCTCATTATCATATTGTTAAATTTATCATGTTGGAAAGATTAGTATAATTCATAGAATGAATTGTTCTTGAAGCTGAAACTACAATTAACTCTCATCATGCTCAGGCAATTAAATTTATTTTAATAAATATTATTTTTGCTTTTTATAGATTACCATTTAATTAGAAAGTACAGAAGATATTGAATCGGCCATTAAAGATTTACAAAATACCTCAGTAGCAAATATGTTACCAAATATAAGAAGAAAATAAACACAATACAGGTACATCCAATTGGTTTAAATGGAAGGAAGGTCAATATGCTGGTTATATTAGAGCTAGATTTTTGCCTAATATTGGTGAATGAAAAAATTTTTCCCTGGAACAAATTCAAAAATTATCAAAAGTAGAAGTTACTAACCTCAACTGCAAACTTATACCCCAATCAAACCAAATTTACCTTGGATTTCATCTATTTCTAAAAATATGGGTAACTGGTTGTCTAGAAATTTTCTATCATTTTAAATATACAAAAAAACCATTAATCACTATTACAGTCAATCCCCCTAAATGCATTCCCGTGACTTTCACCTGATTTTATGTATTGTTAATCGTGTAACCTTAGAAAATTTTTAAATTAAACATTGTCAAAATTAATTTGGCTTTGATTTAATTCCCAAAATCTCAATTTTTAATTGTGTCTTGACTTAATTACTTATATTTTTTCCATATGACTCAATTAATTGCATCAAAAAGTACCAATTGAGTCAAGTGTAAGCATGTTAACCAAAGTTGGCTCTCTTAATAAATGATCATCACTGAATCTGAAATGCTGAAATAGTTTTCAGACATAAAAAATCTACTGAGAATTTTGGCTATTGAGTTAAAGTGTTCAAATAATTTCAGATATAATTTCAACAACTAATAAAGTTGATTTCGGTAACTATGAAAACTATCTCGGCATTTTGGATTCGGCAATGATCATTTATTTAGAGAGGCAATTTCGGCTAACATGCTTAGTTTCAACTAAAACCATAAGTACTTTACATGATCCTCGTATCTATCTAATAAAAAACAACTTTTGGTAAACCTTTGATTTTTTTTTTAAATTTCAAGAACTTTGATTACAATTGATAAAAATTATTTATATTTTTATTATGTGCAATTAATTGTTTTATGATGAGCAAAACTTTTGTCCAGGGAGTTATATAATAACCATAATAATAACATTCCATTAAACATAAATTTTAAATAAAAAAGTTTGCCAACATGATTCTTTTTTAAAATTATTTCATTATATATACAATATATGATTTTTTTAATCAATATAATCTTTATCCGTTATTATTATATCAACATCAAGGTAAAATTATTATAAAAGACATACTAATATATAAAATTTTTTAAAAACATCTGGTAAACCAAATATCGAGAGTTTTATATTTATTAATATTTTAATTTATTATTATATGAAAAATCCGTAGTACCACTTAGAAATATTGTCTCATTTTCTGAATATTGTCAAAGTGTGCTCATTTTTTTGAACTTATAAAATTTATAGAGTGCAATACAATTAATTACAAGGAAGAAAATGAAAATTACCTTAAAGTTCTTGTTAGTTTCTTGTAGATTTATTTTTAATAATCCAAATGCACATTATTACTATATTTTGGAATAATCACTAAATAAAAATTTAACATTCTCATATCATTGCCACTGCTGTTATACAATCTTTTATTTTCTTTTATGTCTATCTAAACAAATAGCGATATTCTTAAAAGATTTGATGATCTTGACCAGAGAAATAAAAATAAAGAAAGAGATGTCACTTAGATTGCATAAAAAATTATGATTCATTCTTAATTAAATTAAATAACAATCACAACATTTATGACGCTGATAAATTTGATTGACTTTATTCAAGCTTAAAAACACTTTTCTAGAAAATGAATGGATATTAATCATCATAGGTTCGATACTTGTTTTTGCAATTTCTTTGATAAACAAGAAATATACAAAACCCAAGGTAGTAATGGATACACAGGTAGAATCGCTAAATTAGTCATTGTCAAGGACCGATTTTATCAAGTTTGTGTAAAAAAAAAAGTTACCGCTGATCTTTTACGCGACCTAATACAGATCATTTACAAATTTGGTTAAATAATTCACACATTAATATGATAATCATTTATTTTTTCTACACGCGAAAATAATAATAATACTAACAATAATATTAATAAACAAATGACCAATACTGCTAATTATTACTGTTCTTCTTCTTTAGATTATCTATCACCGCCTGATAGTGAATCAACCTTTCAATTTCCTTTTAAACCATACGATATTCAAATTAGTTTTATGAAGAACTTGTATCAAGTTATAGAAGAAGAAAAATTGGGGATTTTCGAAAGTCCAACTGGAACTGTGAGTTACATTAAAAAAATTATAAAATGATGATTGATTATTTGGCTAGCTATTAATTCAATTTAATTAGGGAAAATCATTAAGTTTGATATGCGGGGCATTAAAATGGCTTAAAGATAATGAAAATAGATTTGATAAATTAACTGCTAGTGAAAATGTTTGTAATAATGAAAACAATGATTCTAAATGTAAGGATATTTTTAATTTTATTATTAAGGTTAATGGAATTGTTAATACTGATGATAATTTCGTTATAACTTTGTGTAAGTAGTACCACAATGGGTATTGGAACATCGTAAAAAACAAAACATCAAAGATGAGCTATCAAGAAAACAACGATTGAATGAACGACTGAAAAAGATCCGAGAAAAAGAAAAGCTTGAAAGAGAGAAAAGTCAATCACAAAGAAGCCGTCATGCTAGAAAACGATTGGTTGGTGTTATATATAATTTTAAGTTACATAATATGATCATTACTAATGAATGATTATGATAATAGAAACCAATTAAAGGATCAGAGGATAAAAATTATAAAAATTTGAATGTTAATAACACTAACAAAGATATTGGTGATGATGATCCCGGATTAAATGTATTTCTGGTTGAAGATTATGATAGTGATGAGGATACTGAAAATCATAGTAACGATATTAATGACATTAATGATGGCATTGTTACTGTCGTCGAAGATAATTTATCTGAGGATGTACGCGAACTTTTAAAAAGGTTGGATTTTTTAATTATTATTAAAACCTTTGTTTATTTTTCCAATAGCGATAATAAATAAATAAAATATCCATATATTGAATTAGGTTTCAAGAAGGCAAAGATGTTGAAAATTCTGAAAAGGACAATGAAATTGATGATGAAAATGTTCCTGATGAAACAAAAGTAATGGATTACTAAGAAATTTTAATATTATTAATCAATCATATATTTACTTCTTACATATCATGAAAATTATAGATTTATTATTGTTCAAGAACACATTCTCAATTATCTCAATTCATCAATGAACTTCGTAAAACCGATTATGTCTCTGAATACATTAAATCTGTCTCATTGGGTTCCCGAAATTCTTTGTGTATAAATGAAAATGTCAAGAGGTTTAATAGCATTACAAAAATTAATGATAAATGTATGGATTTGCAAAAATCTGATTTAAAAGCTGAGAAAAGATGCCCCCATCTTCCTTTTAAGGACAAATCAGGGTTTTTAGATTTCAGAGATCATGTTCTGGTTAGTAGTTTAGTTACATAATAATAAAACATGGTTATAATTTTTGATAATTATATTTTTTTCTTTTATTATTTTAATAAATAGGCAGAAGTGCGTGATATCGAAGATTTAGCTCATCTTGGCAAAAAATTGAATACTTGTCCTTACTATGGCACAAGGAAAAGTATTAGACAATGTCAGGTATGTGGATATATTATATATATTACATATTGGTTTTTTTTTAAGAAAAAAATTATTGTACTGATTAATATTTATTTCTCTCCCAAATTATAGATTGTTACACTTCCTTATAATCTTATATTACAAAAATCTTCAAGAGAATCAATGGGAATCTCACTTGAAAATAACATTGTGATTATCGATGAAGCTCATAATCTTATAGATACGATAACTTCTATTAACACTGTTCAAATTGATTTACCTCAAATTAGAAGAATGGGCTCACAATTATCGTCATATCTTGATCGGTATAAAAATCGTCTTTTAGGAAAAAATATCACATACATTCAGCAAATTTTATCGATGTTACAAGCTTTGGTAAAATGTTTAAAAGCTTGGCAGAAAAAATGTGAAAACTTTGAGGAAGATAGTTATGAAGGTCTAGAGGAGGTAAAAACAGTAAATGATTTTGTGCATTTATGGAATATTGGTCATTTAAATCTATTCAAAATCCAAAATTATTTAAAGAAAAGTCTGATTGCTCGTAAGGTAAATTAATTATATTATATATTTCTAAAAATAAATTAAATGCTAATTTTTTATTTTTTATTTTATTTTAATAAGTTGAATGGATTTATTGAAAAGGTTGAACAATTAAATAGCGATAATAATGATTCTTTTGTACAAGATCATGGTAATTATATACACATATATATTGTTGGTTGCGTTAATATTTCACAGCATTATATTATGCTAATTTACAATTGGTTCTTCGTCTTTAAAAATAAGAGCATTTATCTACCATTCCATCATTAAGCCAAGTTGAAGCATTTCTTATGTCATTAACTAATGGTAATCAAGATGGTCGTGTAATACTTGGTTTCTTGCCACAACAAACATCACAGGTTACATCTTCATCATCAAAATCAGAATTAACATTATGTAAAGATACATCACCAAAGACAAAAATAAAATATATTCCTTATATAAAATATTTGCTGTTAAATCCTTCAAATCAATTTAAGGAGATTGTTCAAGAAGCTAGAAGTGTAATTTTGGCAGGTGGTACCATGGAGCCTGTAGGTTATATCCCCTCCTAAAAATATTATAATTTTATTATACATGATTTACAAGACGGTTGTATCATGTAGTAATTTTTATATAATTAAATTTTAGGTAAATGAGTTAATCGAACAATTATTTCCATATTTACCTTCTGAAAAAATAGTTAAATTTTCATGTGGTCATATCATACCACCTGAAAATTTATTAACATTAACAGTTTCTGAAGGTCCAATGGGCGGAATTTTTGAATTTACATATGAACATCGTCAAAATGTAAAAATGGTAAAAAAGCATTTCACAAAATCGAAAAGGTTGTTTTATTAAGTATAATCTTTACTAAACATGTTCCCTTCTCTTCTTTCTTCTTCACCCTTCTCTCTATTTTGATTTATAGATAGATGAATTGGGGCAAGTTATTGTAAATTATTGTAATATTATACCAGATGGTGTAATCTGTTTTTTTTCATCATATTCGTATTTAGAAAAAGTTTATAAGAGGTTCGAAACTAATGGTATATTAAAAAGAATTGAAAAACGTAAAAAGGTAAAATTTTTATTATCAATAAGAAATGATGATTGATAATTTTAATTAATTTGATTTGAATAATTTTTTTTTTAGGTTTTTCAAGAACCTCGTCAAGCTAATTTGGTTGAAAAAACTTTAAATGATTACAATCATCATATTCACACCAATTCTGAATCACATAGAGGAGCATTATTATTATGTGTTGTTAATGGAAAGATGAGTGAAGGAATAAATTTCTCTGATAAATTGGGAAGGTAAAAAAAATATATTAAGACTTTTAATAACAATAATAATTACGTGAGTAATTTTTTTAAATTTTGATTTGATGAATCTAGAGGTGTAATAATGGTTGGATTACCTTTTGCAAATCTTTCCTCTAATGATTTGAATGAAAAAATGAAATTTATAAGTCAATCAAAGGAAAATAATAATTCGAAACAACGTGGAATGGAATATTATTTGAATTTATGTATGAGATCAGTCAATCAATCAATTGGTAATTTATTTTTAAATGTACAATATAATATTATTATTATTTATAATTTCACTTATTTATAATTTTTTTTAATAGGTCGAGCTATTAGGCATCAAAATGACTATGCGACGATTATATTATTAGATCATCGATTCAACACAAATTTTAGGATAAGACAAAAATTACCAAGTTGGATTAATAAAAGTGTTGTTGAATGTAAAAAATTTGGATTGACTGTTGGTAAAATTTCGACTTTTTTTAAATCAAAAAATAATAAAAATTAATTAGAAAGGCTGTATACCGTACTAGTAAATATTATCATTGCGACAACAACCTCGAATTTAATGAGCAAGAAAAGCATTTGTTGAATTATAAATAGAAGGACTACATGATTTTAATTTTTTATATAACGTCATAATATTATTATAACGAGATGCTGTACAAGATCCATTACTAATAGGATTTATTACCATTTCCGTAATCTTTCATGTATAAATAGCTTCATCTTCGAATTTAAAACCATGAAAGAAGAATTTAAAAATTTAATACTTATAGATAGAGATTTCTCAATCCACTTGTATTTAATATCTGGAAATGCATTTCGAAATGCTCGGAAGTAGTGATGTTAGCCGTTTAAAAATCCTTAGCCGGCTAAGCCGTTTACTACCTAAATTGGTAATTCTATTTCTATAACCAGAATGTAATACGGAAATCTATTACCAAATTTAGAAATTATGTATGCAGATTATTAGCCGGCTAACATCACTACTCAAGAAGATAGGTGATAAACATTCAACAATAAAGGTACGTTCAGATATATCATGGTATAGGACTCTTGGCAGTCTGTACTTGAAGTTTGTGGTGAAATATAGGAGTGCGTACTGTGCAAAAAAGTTAAATCTTGCTTCTTCTGTCTGGTTATCACCCGTGATGATTGTCTTATTAAGGATTTTTGATTCGATTTCTGTGTAGTCTGTTTCAAATATCTCCTCCAGCTTCTTAACAAGAGTTTCCTGCAAAACCAATCGATCTTTTATTTGCAACAACTTTTTTATTTATATATAGGTTCTCTCTTCCACGGTCTCCTTAACATAATTTATTGTTGAATTGAATGTGCAAATAAGGTATGGGGAATATTTATCATACATCATTTTTGTTATGATTGGTTTGTTTGGTGTAAAAATCAAAGCTTCTTGAGTCGATCGAATAACTGGACATGGTGTATCTTCACATGAAGTAGTAATATTTTGTGAGGCATCTAATGATGTCAGGTATTGTTGGGATGTACTTTGAGTAATTTCACACAATATAGTATCTTCTGAGGTATTTGATGACATCATGGTTTGTTGAACCGGACTTTATGTGTTTTCATCCTCTAAAATTTCTAGATGGTATGACATGTCACCTTCATCCACACAATCATGGTTCGCTTTTCCACATAATCGTTTTGATTTTTAGATTTCAAAAATAGTATTAAAATCAGAATATTTATGATCATGCGAAACAGTAAAAAAAAATTTCAATTACTTTCCCACGTTTCTCCATGTAGTCTGAATCAGATGAATTGGTCTCTTCCACTGAACTTTCAGTATAACATACTGATTTTCTTTTTCTAAGGACTTTTTCGGATGAAAAAGGCAATTTTTCTTTCCTGCAAGAAAAATCATAAATCAGTTTTGGGCATTTTTAAAAATTTAACTAGAGTAACGACAAGTGGTGGGTGATAACCACCACCACCATCCTTATTCTTAAAACACTTACCCAGCAACATCAACAACGAATTGTTTACTTCTTTTTCTTCTATCCTGTTTGCTGTTCATATTTTAAAAAAAAATTTAAAAAAGAAGTTTGTTATTTGATCGACGTGTACAATTAATTATTTATCCTATTGGGCAGACGCGAATTGATTAAACAATTTATTTTTTGAGAGAGTCCAAGGTGACAAAACGTGGGTGTTGTTGTTTCGGTCGGTTTGGGTCTCCTAAAGAATACGTGTTAATAATTAACCAGAGGTACTTTTTTTTATTTGTATTGATATTTTAATTTTAGCTTATAAATATTTTAATTGGAATCAAAACACGGAGCAGATCTTGCTGGATAAATATTGATAATATTTTGCTTTGTGTAAACATTAATATTAAAATATTAATTATAATATTATAATTACATGAAGTCAAGGCAATACACCATTTAAAAAGAAACATTTCGAGTATGAAATGTTTGAACTGGTATAATTATTTTATGGCTATTCATATAAAAAATATTGAATTATTTCTAAAAAAACAGTTTAAATAAAACTATTGGCTAGATGCAACAAATACTTGACAAACCACTAAAGTTAAGAGAACAATCAAGCATCTGCACTTAATGCTTATGCTACAGACTAACCGGGATATTAAACTAATAAAATTATAAACAATGAAGTTACCAAAGAGAGTGCAGTGAATCTAGTATATCGTGAAGAACATATAATAATAAAATTTAACATGCAAATCTGGAATCCGTTTAAAAAAATTCATATATTCCAATTAAAAAAAAAATTGCACACATTTTTTTTTAGTATTAAATATATAATGGTGTTATAGACTCTGATTTACAAGATTGGTGGTGACAAACCCAAAAGCGAATAAAAGTAATATTTATTTTTAGCATCCCATTTGCATTGGAATGAAGACACAATTTTTTCTAAATATTATGTATTACAAAAACAACGAATTTTGCCAGAATACTGTTGTCAATGTGAAGAATTTCAAGTGATGCTGTATCCAAATTATACCAAAAACTTAATCCTAATTCAACAAGAAGAATATCTGGAGTTGAGGTTTTAGGAATGAAATTTTTCAAGAGTTATTTTATTATTAAACATTGAATTTAGACCATATTCAATTCAAATAGAAAATAATATCAACTTATTTATTTGTGATCTAAGAAGTTCAAATAACAATGAATTATGTACCTTTAATTAATGATAAGTTTATGGTTTGAAAATAATTTGCTTAAAAAAAATAGACCAAATGATGCTTGGAGAGAAGTGGGAATTCTAATTAAGCTTGAAGGTAAAAAATTGCTGGTTTAGATAATAATATAACAAAACTAATTTTAGATGAATTGAAAGCTTGGACTTGTACACACCAAAAGAATTGGAGGATGAGGAGTTGATGCAAAAAAATATTCCTAAAAAAAAAACAATTGTAAATATAATTTTTTTTATCAATGGTATAAACAAACTCTAGTATGATAGAACTTTGTTCCTCTTTAGATCATAAGTTTAATGATACAGAAGAGATAAAATCACAATTTGATGCCTTTTTTTTTTGATAAAGCTAATATTGCTGGTGAGCTCATTTAAAGTTGATCCTAAACCTAAATCACCAATATTATATTTGCAAGATCAAAGCAATCTTTGCAGGAAAAATACCCAGAAATATATCCAAGTGGAATTTCAGAACAACTTTCATGTTTCAATTACAAAATGGTGGATATAAATATAGAGATGACTTGGGTGGATTGTGTTCAATTTGTTCTGATTATGAATATGGTGTATTTGACGATTTAAATAAAGTTATAATAAAATATATAAATGACAATAGCATTTGGGTAATTATTTATGATAAAAATGATTTTATATTAATTCATTTACAACTGCTAATTACTTACATCATCTCTAACAAAAAGGATTATCCGGATAAATTCAATTAATTGAAAGGCATATGAAAATGAAATAAAATACTAATATTTATGATAATGAGAATTAAAACATACATAATGAGTATCTTGGTCATTGTTTATTTTATGCTTTTGGTATATGTGAAAAAGAGCACAATTTTAGATGGAGAATATGGACAAAAGTTTGTATTATTATTTAGCACATCAAGCAAGAAAATTTTATTTAAATATTCCAATTTAGATCAAATTTGTTAGAATTAGATGAGGATGGTGCTGTAACAATGGTTGATTATAAAAATGAGAAAGGGCAAAATGCATGGTTTACACCACCATCACTAAATGCAGTTTTGAAACCATGACAAAAAAAAGCCAAAATGGGTAACAATCATTTCTGATAATATGGACCTCATTATCATATTGTTAAATTTATCATGTTGGAAAGATTAGTATAATTCATAGAATGAATTGTTCTTGAAGCTGAAACTACAATTAACTCTCATCATGCTCAGGCAATTAAATTTATTTTAATAAATATTATTTTTGCTTTTTATAGATTACCATTTAATTAGAAAGTACAGAAGATATTGAATCGGCCATTAAAGATTTACAAAATACCTCAGTAGCAAATATGTTACCAAATATAAGAAGAAAATAAACACAATACAGGTACATCCAATTGGTTTAAATGGAAGGAAGGTCAATATGCTGGTTATATTAGAGCTAGATTTTTGCCTAATATTGGTGAATGAAAAAATTTTTCCCTGGAACAAATTCAAAAATTATCAAAAGTAGAAGTTACTAACCTCAACTGCAAACTTATACCCCAATCAAACCAAATTTACCTTGGATTTCATCTATTTCTAAAAATATGGGTAACTGGTTGTCTAGAAATTTTCTATCATTTTAAATATACAAAAAAACCATTAATCACTATTACAGTCAATCCCCCTAAATGCATTCCCGTGACTTTCACCTGATTTTATGTATTGTTAATCGTGTAACCTTAGAAAATTTTTAAATTAAACATTGTCAAAATTAATTTGGCTTTGATTTAATTCCCAAAATCTCAATTTTTAATTGTGTCTTGACTTAATTACTTATATTTTTTCCATATGACTCAATTAATTGCATCAAAAAGTACCAATTGAGTCAAGTGTAAGCATGTTAACCAAAGTTGGCTCTCTTAATAAATGATCATCACTGAATCTGAAATGCTGAAATAGTTTTCAGACATAAAAAATCTACTGAGAATTTTGGCTATTGAGTTAAAGTGTTCAAATAATTTCAGATATAATTTCAACAACTAATAAAGTTGATTTTGGTAACTATGAAAACTATTTCAGCATTTCAGATTCAGCAATGATCATTTATTAAGAGAGGCAATTTTGGCTAACATGCTTAGTGACAAAATTAATTTTATTAGGTGCTAAAATTATATCTGAAATTATTTGGACTCTTTAACTAAATACCAAAAGGCTGGATAGATTTTTTATGTCTATTGATATAAAGAATATTGTAAATCCAAAACTGATGTTTTCAAAAACCATTTTGGCCAACATCCTTAGCAACCTATTTTTACCATAGTTAGCGAGTTTGGAAACTGTACATGCAATGAACAAGCAAAACCAGTTAATTATCTTGAAAAATATATTAACTTAAAAAAAATAAATACAATGGAACTATACATGCAGCCCAAAGTATTTTGACACTGTCATAAAGGGGGTTACACATCTAGTAAAGGGGTGTTACACTTATGTTTTTAATAGTGAATGCCGTAATTAATTTCTACTTTCTACCATCAAAATTGGAATAATTTTGACCATCAAAATCACCAAACCAATTTGGGCTGCATGTATAAATGGAACAAATTCCAATAGATAGATTCATGTCTTGAATTTTTTTGTAATTTAAAAATTTTAATATGTGCAGCTTTAATTCCCTAAATGCATGCTTCCACCCATTACCAAGGGGATGCACTTAGGGGGTTGAGTGTACCTATCATTAAATTACAAGATATTTTTTTTATTTAATCTTAAACAGTGTATTTTGAAAAAGGACAAGTATTAAAAAAAAAATCAAAATTTAAAAATAAGGAAACGTAGCAAAATTTTCAAATAATTACCATTTTACAAGATTGTTTACACAGGTAATGTTGATAAAAGTATTGTTATAATGTTCAAAGTATGTGTTCTGAATTATTGAAAATGAAATAAATCAAGAATCAATTCCAAGATGCAAAGTTGGATTACTCATTATTCTGCAACATGCAAAATTGAATCATCAATTTTTGATACAATTGCACCTGTCTATTTGCATACTGTTGGGACTGATGAGTTTTTATGCAAATAGACAGAATATGCATATTCACGTTATTGTGTGGTTGATGTTACATACAATCACGTGACACGAATTTAAAAATTGTTTCGTGTCATTCGCGTCATGGTTTTAATCAATTCATTAATTTAATAGCTTAATCATAAATTTTTGAATTTTACTCAATTTTATACAATCATATATTTCGTTATCCTTTACATTTACAATGAAGAAAGTCACATTAAACAATCAACAACGTTATCAAATCTGTTTAAAAAAGCAAGATGACCCAAGAATAACCCAAAAAGAATTAATTAATTGGTGTGAACAAGAATTTGGTATAAAAGTTGATCAAGCAACTATTTCCAGAACATTAAAGCACTCATATGAGTATTTGGATAATGAAACAAAGTTACTACAAAATCCACTACAGAAAAAACCCCGTAATGTTAGATATCCTGAGCTTGAGCTTGCACTCCAAGAATGGTTTTTGCGCTCACAAAACCATATTCCTCTCACTGACCTAATCATAACTGGAAAAGCTAAATCATTTGCAAAATTGCTTAATATTCCTGATGATGCATTGACATTTTCTTCTGGGTGGCTTCAAAGCTTTAAAAACAGGTATATTTTTGCACATATTTATGATATTAAATTATTAATTTCTTTTGTAACAAATAATTACATATGTAGAAACAATTTGAAAAGATATCAATTGCATGGAGAAAGTGGATCAGCTGATACCAATGCAATTGAAAATGCACTTCCTGATTTAAAAACAATTATTAACTCCTTTAGACCTGAATGTGTATATAATATGGATGAAACAGGACTGTTCTCCCGGCAAGTATATTATTATAAACAATATTTAAAATATTGTTATTTGCTAATGTAATTTAATAAATACATATAGACTTGAACCTGACACAACTCTAGCAACAAAACAATTTGAGGGAAAAAAAAAGGACAAGGAACATTTGACTGTTGTGCTCTGTTGTAATGCTGATGGAACTGATAAACTTCCACCTCTCATTATTGGAAAATTTTTAAAACCTCGGTGTATGAAAAATGTTAATATGAATAATCTTGGAATTACCTATAGAGCAAATACTAAAGCATGGATGACAGCAGTTTTATTTCAAGAGTAAGTAAATTTATGATTAATAATTTAATATGACTTACTTTATAAAGCATTTTTAATCAATTCTCAATTGTAGATGGTTAAGACTATTTGATCAAAGAATGTGTGGTAGAAAGGTGTTATTATTACTTGACAATGCACCTTGTCATATAATTGAAGGGGTAGAATTGAAAAATACACAGATTAAATTCTTACCACCAAACTCCACATCAAAGATTCAACCTTGTGATGCTGGGATTATTGCATCTTTCAAGAAACATTACCGTCATCAATTTGTACATCACCTTCTTGAAAAGTTTGAGGATAATGAACAGGTTGCCAAACTTAATGTTTTAGAAGCTATACTATTCATTAAAACAGCTTAGAGAGATGATGTTACAATAAATACCATTGGCAATTGTTGGAAGCATACTGGTATTATTAAATTTGATAATAATGAAGAAGGAGATGAAATAATTCCTAATATAGAAAAAAATATTACAGCCTTAAGGTATTAAAAATATTGTCTTGTTATTTTAATTTCAATGTTAATTATTTTATTATTGTTACTATTATAGATACAGAACCCCTATGAGAACAGAAGATTTTTTGAATCCTGTTGAAGAAAATGAAATAGAAGAACCTGTAGATGAGGAGACAATTATTCAATT